TAATAGAATTTTGCATTTTACTTCAATTCAATCTATTGGTGAAACCTTAAGTGTCCTGATCACTCAATTACATAGTTAAAATATTTTCATAAAAATGAATTATATTAATATTTAAATAATTCAATTTAAGTGAGAAGCTTGTTGAAAGATCCCATAATGAAACAAAATCATGTATTTATTTTACAATTTCTGATTTACAAGTAATAGTTGAATATATATATCAAATGTTGGATTTTGCTATAGGACATGAGAGAAGTTAGAAGTCACACTCTAGGAAGGATGGCAAACCACCATCCCTTTTGAACCATTCTTCTCTTAGGATTCTGGGCATGCACACATGTAGCTTGATTTTCTAGCTGCTGAATTGAGGACTCAAAGAGTAGTCAGTCATGTGGGAATCCAACATCTTAACCACCGCACCACTAGCTGGCCTCAATTAATTGTTCTATATCTTTGAGGGGTACAATCTTTCTTCTGTTTTGTTCCTCATTATCTGCTGATATGACAGTTATCTTGGTTCCCCAGAGATCCTTTCTGACCAGTCACTCTCAGATTTTTCCTTCTACCGTATTGTTGTGGCTTTTAAGAAAAGTAATCCTAAGCTCTTCCAGAGCTAAGTTGGATGTTTAAAAACAATGTTTTCATGTAATTTGTTAGGGTGATCTGTGTTGTGGGCTATGAAATAATTCACAGACTCAGAAAGTAAGTAAATAGAAAAGGTTTATTATTCACTTTCCAAAAGGAGGAAAAGAGCCAGATGGAAGGCTCTTCAGCCATAGGCTCTGAAGAGTAGGGGCTAGGCACTTTAAAAAGAAAGGGATGTAGGGTGGGGTGATTAAGCTGGTCCTGAGACAACATCCAGTGGTCTTTTAAAGCATTTGGGTTGTTCGGTTGTTATCTCTGGGTGAGTCAGTCATCTGCAGTAAAATCATGTGGCACCCCTTTGCTTTTCTTTATTCCAATGGAAATCTTCTTCGATTCCAAAGAATTACTCAAGGTTGCCCAAGATGTTTCCTTCCCATGAGCAAAGTTCATATAAGATACAAATATCGAAGGGTTGATCCCTTAAAAAAAAATATATTAATATTTAAATCATTCAATTTAAGTGAGAAGCTTGGAAAGATCCCATAATGAAACAAAAACATATTTATTTTACAATTTCTGATTTACAAGTAATAGTTGAATATATATATCAAATGTTGGATTTTGCTATAGGACATGAGAGAAGTTAGAAGTCACACTCTAGGAAGGATGGCAAACCACCATCCCTTCTGAACCATTCTTCTCTTAGGATTCTGGGCATGCACACACGTAGCTTTATTTTCTAGCTGCTGAGTCGAGGACTCAAAGAGTAGTCAGCCATGTGGGAATCCAACATCTTAACCACCACACCACCAGCTGGCCTCAATTAAT